TACTTAGAGATAGTAAAACAATAAAGAAAAGAAAAAAAAAATGAAAAAAAAAGGAAAATATGTGGAAGATAAAAACAAATTGACCCCATTCCAATTTTTTACTGCGGACATCAGGTAAAAAAAAAAAATATATATCTTATAAAATTTGTTTGCCAAGCCAACCATTGACCTACGACCTTCTATATATTTGACCCATATCGCAGAAACCATCTCCTTCGAGAGATCAGGAGAGAGAAAATTCAGAAAGAGCGGGAGGGTTTACTCACCTTTCTCCATTGCCGAAGCTTCGTCTTTCTCTCTCCTCCCTTCTCCGATGGAACCACCCTCGGAGCACGGCGGGACCCCCATCCCCACCTCCTCACCCGCGCCGTCCGATCACGACGAGGATCGGCCTGATTTCTCGCCCGTCGGGTCCCCGGAGCTCGCCGGTTCCGACATTCCGTCGCCGCCGGATCAATCCGAGTCCGATGCAGTCTCCGAAGGCCTCCGTCGCAGGATTATTAAGCAGGTAGCTAATATACCTTTTTTCTCTTCTTCTCGTGCGTTATGTAATTGATCGAGTTTCGGGTTGAGGGAAGCAAATTTGGGCGTAGGGATTTGTTCTGATGATTTGGTACTGGTAACGTATGAGTTATCAGCCTGATCTGTTGATGGTTAGAGGAGATTGTTCTTGGGTGGTAATATAGGTTTGAAATTGTGCTGCTACTAGTTATTTTCTTTTAGTTGGTTTTACTTAGCTCAGTGTTTACCCTTTGGGTTCTAATTATTCTTTACAGCTGTATAATCCTTAGTTTCGAAAGATTGGGTAAATATTGAATTTTGAATGAGAAAACTGTGCAAGTATGATCCACGCATGTTGAATATTGCTGGAACAATTCAATCGGTACAGTGTTGGTGGAGTGTGAGGGTTTTGCTCAGATGAATGCACATTTGCATGTATGTTGGACCTGTAAAATCCTTGAATCGTGCTTCTCTGGAAATAATTGTCTTGAGATTTGTTTTTGGTGGGAGAGTTCTCTGCATTTTGTTGTTAGCTAAACCTTTTTAAAAGTGTACGTTTTATGCTGAATGCAGCAACGTTCTCGTAGCAAGGTACGGGGGCTTGTGGCCAGTATTTCCTTAGTGATGATTTTTAAATATTAATTATCCACCAGGCTGGTGTCTTTGTCGTATACCTTTTGTGGTGTCCTTGAGTTGTTAATGGATTTGTAGCATACTTTACCTGTCAATTGCCGTATCTATTTTTTTTTTTAAAGTGTGTACTAGTTTTATCTTAAGCCTATATTTTATTTGATTCTTCTATTTTCAGGTGGAATATTACTTCAGTGACGAAAATTTGCCTACTGACAAGTTTTTGATGAACTTTGTTACGAATAATGTGGAAGGGTTTGGTGAGTAGAGGACTGTTCTACTCCTTCCTTTATAATTATGTAGCTACAAAGCAAAAAGGCCTTTCATTATGTTTTATTGATAAGCTGGCAGTATGAAGCTCTTCATACTACATAGTTTAAGTAACAAACTATATTGTTTTACCACAGAATTTACATTCTGCTTGAATTCGTTGTGACATTTAAATGGAATTGAATGTCTATGCCTAATTTTAGCATAAACTATTACGTGTGTTATGAAGAATAACATTTCCTTTCATTAGCTTATTGGATTTCAGAATATCAATGGGTCTTTGGTAGCATATCATACATGTGTTTGAAAGTTGAACCACACCTAGTTTGGACTGTTTGGACTTGAAAAGGGAACATATTTAGTCTTTATATGTTCAAGACCGACGGGTATTAGACTTGTTCAAAGCATTTACATAGAACTCTCATTCACGTGATGGTTAGTTTTTTTCTTTCTTCTCATAAATAAAACGTCATTATAATTTATTTCTTTTTCACATTTTTACCGATTAGGAAGCTTTTATGGCAATCAAGCATTTTTCTTTCTAAGAATTCTGTCCATGATGGTTCCTGTTTGAAATAAACAATCTTTTTCTGCAGTTCCTATTGGAGTTATTGCTTCTTTTAGGAAAATGAAGAAGCTCACAAGAGATACAGCATTGATTGTGGCTGCACTAAAGGAATCTACTTTCCTTGTAAGTTCCTGAAGAACACAAAATGAAATTAGTAGAGACCTGTCAGCAAGTACCATTGCTTGGTTTTTAACAAAGAAGGACAGTTCACCATCCATTTCCACTCTGTCATTTTACCCTTTTTATCTGGCCATTATCTCCCTGCTTAATGCAGGTTGTTAGCTCCAATGGGAAAAAGGTGAAGCGAGTTCATCCTCTTCCGGTAGCTGAGATCAAGGACCCTATGGTACTATTTTCATCTTGATGGGTTTGATGCTCTTTACATATTACTGCATAATAATTGTCAAAATAAATGTATTATCTTTAGGTATGCACAGTACTGGTGGAGAACCTGCCAACGGATCATTCGGTAGAGAACCTTCGCCATGTGTTTGGTGAAGCTGGAAAGTGAGGCATTTTGTTTTTTCATCTTTTATACTGTGATGATAGCGTTTATAGTTGTGTAATTTGTACGTTTGCTTTGGATGCTAGCATAAAAAATATTACCATTCGTGAACCAAATGATGTCAGAGATCCAAAGAAGTGCACTGTTGCAGAGAAGCTGATTAGCGGAAAGGTGTGCTTCAATTTGATTTGTCTTTATTTCTTTATGTATGAGTCAAGTTCTTGAATATGACTACATTGAATATGACTACACGAGCAAATTAAACTTGAAGTTGCCAACTGTATTTCTCATATTGTGCTTGTGATATTTCATATAATATACTTAAAATAGCATATACTTATCGAAAATATCAAATGTAAAATATTTGTATATTCATGGATCATTGGTAGTGTGATTTTCAATTGAACTCTTGATACTCTCTTTAACTGGACTCAAGTATTCAAGTCCCCATTCTCAATTCTTGTTAGCATAACGCTAAACCATCGAGATGTCCGTGTTATTATTTAATGGGTGCTGATTTATAGCTATTATATCTCATTATTTCATTTTCCGCTTTCCTTATAAATGGTTGCTCTAGTGTGTATGGCTTGTGCGGGGTCTATAAACTGGCATATAATAGGAACTGTGAGAAAATGTAGATATTGCAATGAGCTGGGCTTACAAACTCTATACATTTAACTGACATTGTTGTTGGTGTTATATGTCTATTTTGTTGGAACTGCCAAGTGAGCTCAGAGATGTACACACATAGTTGTCGATAAGTGGCTACATTAGATATCTATGTTTACATTTATGCAAGTTTCTTCTAATCTGATTTCTATTCCATCTGTCTTGATCTGAAGTTGCATGCTCTTGTGGAGTACGACACGGTGGAGGCTGCAGAGAAAGCTGTGAGTGTGAAAGTCCATATTCATATCCCCACCACACACACACACACACACACAAAACAAGGAAAAAAGAAAGTAATTTTATATTTTCTCATTATCTATTTGCCAGTTAATTTCAGCCTCTGGAAATTGATCACAATTCCGTTTTAGGTGGCCACTTTGAACAATGAACAAGATTGGAGATATGGATTGCGGGTCAAGCTACTTAAGAAATTGGTATTTATGTTCATTCCCATTCTCCGATGTGTACATATCTGATTCCACAATGTAGTAAGCTTACTTGTACCTTATTTTCTTCTGATCCTACAACAGAACAAGTCAAGCCAGCAGAAGAAAAAAATATGGAGGGAATCAGAGCCAGAGAGGGGCAGTTCTCAAATATTGGAACCAGCCGGATATGAGGAGAATCACCATTCGAGTGAACAACACGAAGATTCACACGATGACGAGGTACATCTTACAAAGGATCCGCTTGCTTAACCTTTTATTTGCTCTGTAATTATTCGTAATGATGAAATTAATAGAATTTTCTTCTTCTTTTTTTCTCTGTTTCTCCTTTAGGATGTGGATCATGTTGCAAAAGAGAAAAATGGACACAAAGGTCGAAAACGAGGGCATGGAAGGAGACAGAAATACCATGTTACAAATGGACATGGTAAGTTCATGTTATTATAACTTCTCTCCCTATTCCTTGTGCTGTAATCGAACCGAACGAGTTGAGATTGGGCGTTTCGAGCTCGTGTTCGATTACGTTCGAACAGTGTCCATGTATTTGTTCGTTTATTTTTCAAGCAAAAAATCGTGTTCGAGCTCGTTCTTTAATTGTTCGTCAAAGTTCGAGTTCGTTCATGTTCGAATAATTTAAGACATAAACTTTTTAAATATGTTTGATTAACAAGAAATTTCTTCGTCCGAACTCGAAAATGATAAAATAAAATTACAATATTTTTATATTTTAGATTTATTATTGAAAATATCATGTAAATATATAAAAAAATAAAGTTATATTAAATTAATGTTCGCGAACATTATCGAATGTTCACGAACGAGCTCGTGTTCGTTTGATTATTAAATGAGCCTAATTTACTGTTCGAGCTCGGCTCGATTAACAAAAGAACAAGCTTTTGTCGAATACGAACGAGCTCGAACGAGCTTTTGTTCTCGAATGTTCAGTTTGTTTTTGAGTTAATTTCTTTTGACAATTTCACTTTCAGGCCACGGGACTCAATTTTCGACTCATGGAAAAGAACCATCAAAACCACCACCGGGACCTAGAATGCCCGACGGGACAAGGGGATTCGTGTTGGGCAGAGGTCGGCCCTTGGCGGATAACTGAAGTCTCAGCTTTGTTGATGGAGTAAATCTATGCCGTTAAAAGTAAAATACTTTCTCCGTGTGTAAAAATGTGTGCTACTTTTCCAACTCTCGACAGCATTGTGCAATGATGTGTTGATTGCTTTTGTAATGATAAGAGTTGCTGAAGTTTATATGTGATAAGTGTGATTGCTTTCTTTGAGTCCCTTTTTCATGGGTTGTATTTCATAGTATATCCTTGCACCTTAGATTAATGGTCCAAGATATAATCCTTGGTGTGTTTTGGTGGTTGGGTCCCTCCTAACTAGGGCTGCAAACGAGTTGAGCCGAATCGAGCATTAGCCTTATTGAAGAGGATTGATTTTTTATTTTTTGCTGCTCGAGTTCGACTAGATAATAAATTACAATAGCTTGAGCTTGGTTCATAGCTCGACTCGAAATTAAAATGCTCGAACACAACTTGAATTTTTTTTTCTTGACAAGTAAAATTACCAATAAAGGGTATTTTAGTAATCCAACATATATTTCGAGTCGCTCGACTAATCCTTAGCTCGACTCAAGTTCGAGTCGAGCTTTGACTCGAGTGCTCGCAAACTGCTTGGTTCGTTTGCATCTCTACTCCAAATGATTATCTGATCATATGTATGATATTGTTTGTTATTTAAAGGATTTTTTGTGGCAATGAAGATATGAAGGCAAGAGCTTAGGATATATAACAAGGAGACAAAAACCAGTCGTAATTTCAATTCAAGGTCTATTTTAAGAATTAAAAGTCTTTGTCACAAGATTCTTTCCGTAGTATATATGGGAGAATGCTACCATCCCGTAACGAGATGGTTCCGTTGTGTTTTGTAGCCATAGATTATTTACACATTACTAGATTACATATATATCTACGGCTACAAAAGACAACGGAATTATCTCACAAGGGATGGTAGCATTCTTCATATATATGATGCGTTACTTTCGAAGTCTGATAAATTTTGGCATTTCCTCTCAAAACTACTCACCTGAAGAAAAAACTTCACTCAGCTGGGCATTTTTTTGCCGATCAATGGCGATGGGCCATTCTTAAATCCTATGCTCGGCATAGGCGCATAGCCATGCAATCTCATTCTTTATACGCCACGAACAGTAGAAATCTCAATCGGTTCGACTCTTTTGTTCGTGTCTCTTCCAGTTTGCGCGTCCCAGCATCGTGCGTCTCATTTGATTGCCGAGGCATCACTAGCTGCTCTTGCTTTGCGATCAATCGAAAGGTAAATTCAGCTCTCCCATTGTTGTAATTCTCTGTGTCGCTTCGATTAACATTTTTTTTTTT